CATTTATCTGTTTATCTTAACAATAAGGCTTTAGATTGCCAACTTTCTCATTGTACATTTCAAACTGCATGTCCCTTTTCCTGGATTTGTGGTTTGGATTTAATACAGTACAAGAACAGTGAAGTACTAAGACTACTAAGTACTAAGTCACAGTCTCTGGCGGTATCTGCCTAATGCATCTGGTGCGTGGTAGCTTGTAGCCTTAAGAGTCCTAGAATAGGCTTCAAGCTCACATCTTGCCATTTTTCATTTGCAAATATTACTACTTTAAATGTTTTCTACTTTTGTAGAAAAAGAGCTGTATCATTGTGCCATCTTGGATTTAGGCAGTCACTGTGTCTGAAAAATGAGCGTACCCTCTCATGCTCGTTTCGTATCGCAAATAAATCTGATATTAACTGATCTATTTGACATGTGACTACTGTGACATTTAGTAACAATAAGGCTTTATCAATGTCCTTATTCTACTGTTCAGTCTCAAATAGTTGTCCATCTTCTCAGAATTTCCTGTGTTGTTTGTCAGCCTAAATGCAGCAAGTGTGCTTTAGGCAGAACCCAAATAGCATTTGCACTCAATGGTTGGTGGATACCCATTGCGCTCTTACAAATAGGTTCCTGAATAAATCGTGGCATGGACATATGGTTCTAGAAAAAGGTTTTTACGTTAACCTTTATTTAACCAGGAAGTTCCTTGAGATTAAAGTCTATTTTTCAAGGGAGACCTGGCCTGCATAGCACACTATTTCCAGTTACAGGAATTGTAAAATAGAGCATACATCATGTAGATGTTCTTAAAACTTTAAAAACACTCATCACACTTACATCTTATTTACAAAAAGTGTTCTTAAAAGAAGCATCCATTGAAAGAGCAAGAAGTGCTTCTTGAACCCTTTTTGGCACCTTGTTTTTTTTAATAGTGTACAGTCTGAAGGAACTTGCTCTGTTGCCTGGATGTGTTATATAAAGTTCTTATTAAGTCACCAGTGTGTAAAGTTTGCAGATGGATAAGATGAGGCCTACAGGGAGGTTTCTGCCTCTAGAGCTGCTGCCCCAGCCAGGCTTCTCTCTCTTCCCTCTCTGTCTCCCTCTCGCTTCCTCTGTGGGCATTCCAGAAGAGAGGCATTGTGTAGCTTGGAGACTCGGGCGGCCCCTCGCAGATACGACCCCATTCTTAGTTCCCCCTCGCTTTGTGGCTTACAATGATGCCACACACATCAGCTTTCACCAGACCATCTCCATCTCGCTCTCATTCCTTCTCTCAGCCTTTTTTTCTCTTCTTCAGTTTTCCTAAACTTCAGTTTCTGTCTCTGTCAGTCTGTCTCTCTCTTGTTCTCTCTCTCGTTTTCTCTCTCTCTCTCTCCCTCTTGCTCTCTTTCTCTTTCACACCCTCTTTCTCTTTTAACTGTCTGTCTCTGTGTCTGTGTATCTCTGTCTCTTGGTCTTTCTGCCCCTTTCTCCTTTCTTTTTGTCTTTTATCTGTCTGTCTACTTCTCTCTCTGTATCTCTCTCCGTAAAGGGACTCTCTGGCCAAAATAAAAACAAAACCATCACTACATGTGAACATGCATAATCGCGTCTTACAGTGGTGCCACAGTAGTCTCTAGAGTGAGATTGTAAAGTTTCAAAACTAGGAAAACTCTCTTCTGATGAAGTATCTTGAAGGTGGGAGGAACTTTTGAAGAGCCACAACTACTCCAGCGTGGATTTCTGGAGTTTTTTTTTTCTCTTTTCCTGATAAATGCGGGAGAAAAACAGAGAACATCACTGCTGTAAAGCTGAATATCTCATTGCATCTGTAAAACTGTAGTAACTAAATAAGTCTTCAAATAATCATCACAATTAGGTGACTCATCAAATGAGGAAGGCAGCAAGCTAAAAGCTGAAGTTAGCAGGGTGATTATCTGGCTATCTAGATAAGTTTGGTGTCTTTTGTCTGACTGAAAGGGTAAAAATGTGTCTCTGGCATCCATTTTGTGCTGAATACACATAGTTTTTTTTTTTTTTTGCAATTTTATTCAATGACAGAAGAAAGAGTTACACTAACCTTAGTTTGGTTTCTTTATTAGCCTAGCAGATCGGTTGACACCACAGAGATTCCCAATGGTTGTATGATGTATTTGTGTAATGCATGCTGGGTATTATAGTGAGCGAACAGTGTTGAATGAAGACATGAAAACTATATAAAGTTGTGAATTTTATCAATCCGAAAAGGCAGAGGAATATGATTTTGTGCTGTAAAATACCAATTCCCACTAGTTCCTCTCTCAGTATTCTGTAGTGTGATATAACCAGGCAAAATGCAGACTATTCAGATCACCTGCAGTGTTCATATTACTGTTTTATATTCAGTCTACAGGTTGACAGGTATCTTTGTCCCAGCTGTCTTTTTGTAGATTGATCCATTTATTTTCTTGAAGCAGGCTGTTGCCTTAAAAGAATACCGGATACAGGCAAAGTGCAGCAATTGTAATCACGGCCGTGTGAATTCTCTCTTCTCACGCGCTGAAGATATGAAATCATAGTTTCTTTTTGGTTGCTGTAGATATCATCTTTAGTCCAAACACATGACTCATTTTGGCGAACTGATAGGTCTAAAAATATTTTGGGCAGAGATTCTTATTCATTTCTTCTGAAGAGAAAGTTTAACATGGTCTCACTGCAGAGGCCTGGATTTCATTTTGTAGCGTGGTGCCAGGTCTTCCGCCTGTGGATTCTTCCCGAAGTGTCTGCAGCCATAAATTGATTTAGTTGTTTAAGATGATGACAGGCTGCGCTTGTCCACAATTGCATTCCAGACATTTTGTCCTGCCCGGGGTCTCTTGTTTATGAGATGATCAATACACAAATGGAACTTGAATGGGGCCCAGGGTGGTAGCTACAGTATGTGTACATGAACCAGGGTCAAACATGTTTCAAACAGGCTGCTGTGGCTCAACAGCTGGCAGGTGTTGAGGTCAGGACGCTGCCTTGAATAACACTGAGGTTCACAAAGATGCCAATGTTGATCTTGTATAGAGAGATGAGAGATAAGCACCCTAAACACATTCAACCCCTGCGTTGTGAGAAATACTCAGACATTTTAAGGTAGATTTAAGTAATTCTAAAGACGAATGTTTGACGTGGTTCAGCGTTAGGTGTCTGCAGTGTTTAGTTTTTTGTAAACGTCACATTTTCTTATAAGTGTGCCTTTTATAGAATGTATAAATAATTTTTAGGGCGGTCAATAACATGCTAACATATTAAATTACTAATGCCATGCCTTGCTTATTGCTATTAACCCTTAAAAGTCAGCACAAAAAAGTGGCTATTTCTGCCATTTATCTTACCATTTATGATGCAACTTATGAATGCAAGTATTTGATATTTTTGCTGTCAAAAAAAACAATTATCTCCATTTTTTCAAATTTATTTTTCTATATCATTTTAACAGAGAAGCTTCACTTTACATTGTGTGAACATTTAGTGATGAATGGACCGATAGGAATGCTCCAAAGTTGCTTGGAGTAAAATCTCTACATTAACTTACATTAACAGTAAAGAAAGTTTTTTGGCCTTCCCCTGTAAAGCCACCAACTTTTTCTTGGGACAGCAATGATTTGTAAAATATGTGATCTAACAAAGCTAAAATTTCATAAATTTTTATTCAGTTCATGTCTCTGAACAAGAAAACATATGAATAAGAATATAACTCACATATCAGTCACGTTGTATTGTTAATCTCATTAAACAAAACTAAAAACTTTGACCCTTAAAGCTATCTGTAGTTCCAGGCTGCTTGTACGTTGTGTGATGCTATGAAAGAGTTTTCAGTGCATGAAATCTCAGAAAACCTGTGGATAAAATAATTGAGCAGGCAGCACAATGTGTGAGAGTGGAGCTCCAAAACAAAATGCTCAAAAATAAAAAGAAGGACCTTAAAAGAGCAGCAGACTTTTATGAAAACAATCCTGCTACATTATCTGTGGCGTCAACCAGCTTGCCCTCTTGTTGGCTTGTATGGACAGCATGCCGTGTTAACATTAGACTGACTGCTGTCCTCTTTGGCAGTGATGTGGAATAAGAGTGACATTTTAAGTAATGGAACATTATTAAAGATGTTTTAGCCAAAAAGAGGAGAATAAAGAGAGAGAAGTTTATTTATTAATCCGTTGAACAATTCTGCAGTGTTTTAATTGAGGAAAAAAGGGTCATTTCCACTTGTGTCTTAAGACAACTTAATCAAACGACTATAGCTTGTCGCAGACCTTGGTTGTTTTGGTGATGTTAATGGTTCATCGAGTGAATTCCACTGCACTTTGGTGGGAAGCGCCAATTAGACGCACATATAAGCTCAAGTGCATCTCAGGTTCAGGATAAATTCACTTTTTATGTTGTAACTTATTGTTTTCGAATATTAATTTTCATATTTTTTGGTATCAGCTAACGCACTTCACAAAAACTTGCTGTTTTTGAGGTACGAGGTGAAATGTGACAAAGCTCATAGTGTTAGTTAAGTTAAAAACAGATGATTAGCAATCTAAATTGACTGCCTTCTCAGTGTAACGTTCAAACCTGATCAGTGGCTTTTAGAGGTCTGGTTCTGGATTTATATAATACAGTAATGGGGAAATAATGAATGGCAGTGCTGGATGTTGCACCTTCATTAAGAACATGTTTTAAGCTTTTGGATGCTTTTTGTCGTTTGGTGTGCAGATACATTAGACATTGGTTCTGCTGATTGTTAGCCATGTGACTACCTCTTTAATCTGGTGTAATTTGTCCACATCAGTTGGGAGGGAACTCGGTTGTTGTGTGTTGAGATATACTAATTTCATGTATTTTAACTTGACCCATAGGGTCCACAAGCAGTTTAAAGCCCCTTAGATGAGAGTAAATGCTCATTCACATACACACAAACATACACACACATATGTACACATACATTTTAGGAACTGACTGTCTTTGTTGAAGAATTAATATTACATACATCCTAAACATTTGTTTTTCTTTTCCTCTGCCAGGGCGAAGTATTTCCGAGGCAGGAAGCTGAATGGAGAGTATGAGATCCGCGTGGAGCAGGTGGGTTCAACATGTTTAGCCACAGGAATGTTTTAGCCATCTGTGATCACGCTCACAAAGCTGATCAAGCATCAGGGTTTCTCCATTTCCACTGATCTGAAGCCAGTGGAACTGGTTCAAAAGCAGCAGTCTTACTATGAGACGTTTTGTGGATACTTGTCTCTGTACTGCCCGTGCTGGTTTACACCAGCTGAACTGATATATCCACAAATGCACACGTCTTCTGAACAGCCGCTCTGTCTGACAGTTTAGGACCAGATGTGAACTATTAACTGCAGGTAGAGAAAAACATGCCTAACATTTCCTTTCTAAAGCACTTAGAACTTGATGTTATCTTGCGATTACCTGCTTTTTTTTCATGGAAACACATATAAAGATATATTTTCTTTCACACCAGTTTAATCAATCACGGACCAATGTTGATATGCTGAGTTGTAATAACATGTTCTGTTTTCATTGGCAGTTTCTGTTTTGCAAATTGAAATAGAGAGTCAAAGTTGACTATTAAACCAATAATCAAAGCATTGACTTACTTTTTTTCGTTTAACTTTGTTTTGTTTGTTTCATTTTTAACAGATGACAGCAAATGTAAAACTGTAGAGGTTGTTTATTTCTTTCCACAAAACAGGACTGCATGCACAACAATAACCTTTCATGAAATTAAATTCATTATTAAATTTGTTCTGCTTACAAACACAAACAGTATGAAATAAGTTTAGAATCCAGTCCTGACAGAATTTCTATGTTTAAGTGAGCTAGAGTAAGAAATGATTAATATGAAAATACACCATTCTTTTGTTATAGCTGACCATAACAATCAAGGGTTAAACCAGTTATATTTACACCTTTTCACCTAAGTCTGCGCCAGAACAAGCCATGCATACAGTGTGTAGCATTAGCCAGAGTCTAGACACTCGTTATTTCAGTGAGCTGATAACATCTCTCCACGTTTGCTGTACATCTGTAAGCCATTGAGCAGACTTGGTTTGTCTTTGAAAGGAGCTGCTGGGATTTTTATGGGAAAGGAAGATCTGAGTAGGAAGCCAGAAGGGAAAGTTTAAAGGCAGCATGCTTGTTTTGTGGCTGCTGTTTTGTGGTGCCATCTCTCTGTTTGAGGGGAAATGATGGGAGGTTGGTGAGGAATGAACAAAAGAAGTTGTTTCCAAACTGTGGCACCCCAGTCAGACTCAGTAGAAACATGTGGTTAATTAGATGCTTTAAATCTTTAGTGAAGGACTGTAGCTCAAGTCTCACACATAAAGCAAGCTTCCCCAACAGCCTACACAGCAATTTGTTTAACTCCCTGTGGCATCAGCCAACCCATTCCAGGTGTCCTAGAAGGTCTAGAAGTCCAGTCGAGTTACATAAAGTTTGCAATCTAGAGATCTTTTTTTATGTTGCCAGGGTTACTGACGGCTTCTGATCTAGACATTGGTTGTAATTGATTGTTGTCCAGAAATCCGTTTTCTTTGTACAGGGAATTTGACTGATTGTGATCTAGAGATCCTTTTGCAGTCGCCAGTGTTACTGATTGTGATCTAGAGAGTCGTTTGCTAGTCGCCAGGGTTACTGATTGACTGTGATCTAGAGGTTTGTTTTCTTGTTGCCAGGGTTACAGATTAATTGCATTCTAGAGATCAGTTTGGCAGGTGCCAGGGTTACTGTTTCCTTGTAATGTAGAGGTCCATTTGCTTGTTGCCAGGGTTACTGATTACTTTCCCGTCAGTGTTTTTATCTAAATTTTGTAAGTAAAAATGATCCTCATAGTAAACTTATACAGTTTTAGAAAAAACAAAATCACAGACCTTTTTTCCGTCTGTCCTCTCTCCTGCCCATTAACAATACTTGTGCCTACATGCTTGTCTTGTGCGTTATGCCACCCCTCAGCCCTGCTGCCATATAAGGAGGCATCTGGGTGTTCAGAGAGCTGCAGCTTGAGACCACCCAGAGGAGCAAGAGGCCTTTCTGCAAGGCCTGAGGTTATCCTGAGGACAACAAGAGGGAGGAAAAGAGAATAAGATACTTTTCACCTTTGACACTTTGAAGAGACCTGAAGTTCACTTCCATTTAATAAACATCTGTCATCTATGCTTTCTCTTTCATCAAAGTATGGGAGGAAAACAACTGTCTTCAGTTGAATGACATCAAAATCAGAAGATAATTAGTGCTCAGATGATTTGAGTTTTTCTTCCTTCAGGTAGTTAAGAGCATATGTCCAAAAGTATCCAGATATGCCTTCTAATGAGTGAACACAGCTACTTTAAGGTGAATGTTCTGCTGAAACAGATGTTCAGCTGTGCACACAAAGCACATTTTGGTTGAAAGAGAAAAAGACAAAAAATTTTGGCTGAACAAAATGATGAAGTAGGACAACAGAAAGTGTGAAAATCATTTGAATGATGATGACAACAAGAAACAGGTTTTTAAAATGCTCTGGCCACACGGTTTGAGCAGCAGCAGATTGAAAGGGGGAGAAAAGTTGGCTGTATGGAGCTTTTTCACACTTTCAACATGGGACCAACATGTGGGTCAAGAGAGAGTACAACGCTCAAGAACTTCTTTGCTACACGTTTAGTACCACTTGAAAACACCACATCCTGCTCAGAGGTGTTTCACCATTAAAAATCCCGTTTAACTCAGGCTTAGGCTTAATCTGAGTCTGATGACTGGCCCATACTATAACTTGAGTTTGAAAATGATCTAATCAGTCCGTCTACCCAGTTTGGTGCTGGTTTCCGATGTGAGCTGCAGGGCTTGTATTGTGCAATAAAAAGAGCACGCATTCTTGAAATTATAATCATCAAATATTACAAGCACATCACTAGAATCAAGACTGTTGGAACAGGAAAAACATAAAACTTTCACTTTCCGTGAGTAGAGTTTGATGACCCTGATTTTTGGAACTGGAACTGCTGTAGGCGGGTCTCATGGGGCTGTGCCTGCCCAGTTTAATTGCTATGAACTTACTATAAACTGTAGTAAGTTTATATAAACTATAAACTGGCCTATAAACTTCATATAGAGTTTATATTGTTTTATATTGTTTTATTTATTTTAAATGGAAATAAAACAGTACTTTATGGTTATTTAAATACTTTTTGATTAAGCCCAGGCATGTGGGAAGGTGTTTTGAGTTGAAGGTGAGTTGAAGAAATGTTTGTTTGTTTGTTTTTTCTTTTTATTTGAATTGCTTGGAAAGAGATGACAAGATACAGCTGTACACAGCAACCAAGTTACACGCACACATCTTTATTATTACAGTGATTGCAAAAAAGGATGTTGTTTGAATTAATTGAGTTGGTTGATTTTTTTAAGGTTTTATAAACAGCGTTAGGCTGCTTCAGGGCGCAGAACTAGCCTACAACTCTTGCTTGTGTTTTACACCCAAAGCAACATGCGCAAGTTACACGGCCAAAGCTGCCCATGGTTGGCGAGGGAAGCGATCTCTCCTCACTCTGAAATGCAGCGTTAACTTAAACAGTGCATACTGCAGATCTTGAACATATAAATATGACACACCGAAAATAAGACTCCACCTTACAAAAAGCCAACATGGACTTTTTTCTGTGCTCAAAACGTTTTTTTTTTGTTATTTTTGTTTTTTGCAGTTGCAGTTAATGCTCAGCACCCCTACATCCCACGTCCCTGTTCTAGCCAATAGTGAATAGGCAGAACTAGTAACTCTGATCGGTGTATTCACCCCAAATTTAATCAGATGCGTAATGATGCAGAGAGTCGCCACCTCTTGTGTCGAGCAGAATAGAGTAAAAACATTCAAGTTGTTTTACTTGTTTCTACCATCATTACTATTATTATAAATAAGACTGTCTTCACATTAAGCATTTTTCCTCGGCCACAAGTGCATGTTTTACATTTTATCCTATGGGAAGTGGCTGCACGGTGGTCAGAACAGTGCAACCAGCAGCGTCTTTTATTTCACCAGAGTGGAATGCTTCAGAGAAGCAGCAAGTTAAGAACTCATTGGTAGCAGCGTTGTTATAGTTACAGTGTGCACATCATGTGAGACACTTCAGACAGTGCTTTTATAAAATCATCTTGCATGACTGCAGCCTAACTTCTTCAAACTTGAACGAACACAAAGTAGTGAAAGATTGAAAAAGTATGCACAATTACAAGCTTACGTAAAACAAGTCAAGGTACTTTAACTCCTACCAAAAAACAAGAAGTCTTCATGATTGTTTGTGATTGGGTGGCTGGAAAACTGTGTTCTGCAGAGATTTCTACTTGATTAAAAGTGCCTGCACATAGAGATTCAGATGCCTGGATTTGTATGTGTCTGTTTGTAACACTTAAGCTTTGTTTTCATATTTTTTCATTACTTAATGCAGCCTACAAAGGATTCTGTCACTACATATTAGGGGTGTGTGATATGGCAAAAATATCAGATTGCGATACTTTTTTATGATACACAATATGTATCATAATATTTTGGCACAGACACAGTTCGCTAGTAGTGTCACACTTAAAAATTGGCATCAAAAACTGATTTTTATTCAACATTTCACATACTATACTGCACAAAATCCAATTATAGAGGATTTCTTATGCTCTTATTTTTACAGAATATGCTGTTTGGTCCTTTACGCACTTACAGTATTCATGATATGCTTACAGAAGCATGTTGTCTATCACAAAAAGTAAATCATATATAATATTATCATATTAATAACAATAAAATATAAAACATTTTTACATGTTCACATCTATTATATTTTATATTTTGTAGCTCATATTTTGAAGCCATTTAGTATTTGAGCAGCAAGTTACCTCAGCATTAAAGAACTACTCTTATTTGCTCTGCTGAGTTCGGCTGGTGACTTCCCCCTACATCGTGATTGGACTCAGTGACCAGTGAAACTCCAGGAAAGGCTTTTACTTCGATGCACTCAGACTGTCTAACTTATCTAGTCTTGCAAAGAGTTTTTTGGTTTGCTTTCGTGCAACTGTTTTTGTAATAGTCTGTGTCCAGTTTGCCAGTG